TTGCTAAAGGTTATAGACAGATTCCAGGTATTGACTATAACGAAGTCTTTTCTCCTGTTGTGAAGCATAGCTCTATTCGCACTTTACTCAGTATTGTTGCCATGCATGATTTTGAGCTTGAACAATTGGATGTTAAAACTGCATTTTTACATGGAGAATTAGAAGAGGATATTTATATGGAACAACCTGAAGGTTTTGTTATTCCTGGAAAAGAAAAGCTTGTCTGCAAGTTAAAGAAATCTCTTTATGGATTGAAGCAATCCCCGAGACAGTGGTACAAGAGATTTGACACATTTATGCTCTCTCAAGGTTTCAAAAGGTCTAATTATGATAGTTGTGTTTATTTGAAAAATGTCAATGGTTCAACTATTTATTTGCTCCTTTATGTTGATGATATGCTTATTGCTGCAAAGAGTATGTCAGGGATTAATGAACTAAAGAAGCAATTGAGTAATGAATTTGAGATGAAGGATTTGGGTGCAGCAAAGAGAATTCTTGGCATGGAAATATCCAGAGATAGACCGTCTGGAAAAGTATATCTAAGTCAGAAAGGATATATTGATAAAGTTCTTCATCATTTTAATATGCATAATGCCAAACCGGTGAGTACACCGTTAGCTGCACACTTCAAATTATCATCAGCTTTATGTCCTAAGTCAGATGCAGATATTGAGTACATGTCTAGAGTTCCCTATTCAAGTGCAGTTGGTTCACTTATGTATGTCATGGTTTGTTCTCGTCCTGACTTATCATATGCATTGAGTGTTGTCAGTGGATACATGGCTAATCCTGGAAAAGAGCATTTGAAAGCAGTTCAGTGGATTTTCAGATACATGCGAGGTACTTCTAATGCTTATTTACAGTTTGGAAAAAATGGAGATGGACTTTTTGGTTTTGTTGATTCTGATTTTGCTGGTGATTTGGATAAGGGAAGATCACTCACAGGTTATATTTTCACCATTGGTGGTTGTGCTTTGAGTTGGAGAGCAACTTTGCAGTCTATTGTGGCTTGTTCCACTACTGATGCCGGCTATATGGCTATTTCTGAGGCATGTAAAGAAGCTATCTGGTTGAGAGGTTTATACACTGAGCTTTGTGGAGATTCATCTTGCCCTACCATATTTTCTGATAGTCAAAGGGCCATATATCTTACAAAGAATCCAATGTATCATGAGAGGACAAAGCACATTGATGTCAGATTCCATTATATTCGAGATGTTGTTGCTGAAGACAATTTGAAGGTATGCAAGATAAGTACTCATGATAATCCTGCTGATATGATGACAAAGCCAATTCCGACCAATAAGTTTGAGCTTTGCTCAGGCTTAGTTGGTATTTCTCATTAGTCCTATGGACTTTGACGCACAAGGTGTTTATGCTGATTTGGATGGAGTTATTCACTTTCTTCGACTACTGGAGGGAATTTGGATCAAGGTGGAGATTGTTAAATTATGATCTAAATTCTAGTACCGTATTGGACTAGACGTAGCACATACGGTGTGGGCCTTTGCGTTGGTATCGACGCGTACGAATACAACTCGTTTACTTGTCCTACAAGGACTCCTATGTGTTGCCCCTCATATATACCCCATGTAGTCGCACCTAAGACGTGTCTCATTCTCGTTATTATCTAACACAAGGCTTGGTAGTTCCCATGCTAGCTGATTGGATCATACATTGAACCTATTTAGAAACCTAATGTTTCCCTGTTTTGTTCGAGATTCCACGCAGATGCATTTCAATTAGTGGTCAATTTGATATATTTTGAAGCTAACTTTTTGTTCCTGACTTCTGTGTGCACAGGATTTGGGTATTTTTTTATCACATTCCTTGCTGAATTGTGTGAAACTAATAAAGCAAAGTAGTTCCAGAGAATGAATTGTAAAAATATGTTGATAGAAAATGTCAGCTAGAGCATACAGAAAGGAGTTGGTTGACTGAAAAATAATCAACATGACTTTCTAAAAGGTTGTGGCTGATACAGAGTTCCTGGTTTACTGGTACTTCAAACCAGACCATTCAATTGAAGGTTCTTATAGCCAGCTAAAAGAGACACCAAGCTGTGGATACAGATGAAAGTACAAGTTACGCGACGCACGGAAATAGGTGAAGTCTAAGTGGCATTGGCACACACAATTTTCTCTTGATTTACGATCATGAAGCTCCCGCGGATTAATTAGCATCTATCTGCTGATCATGACAGAGATATGCATGACGAGGATAAGGTATCCCCTTAGAAACACAAATCTGTTTTGTTTTCCAAAACTTTACTCATCGTAAACATTATGTTAGGACCTTGTGTTTTATTATTCAGCATAATGTTGCTTTGTATCATCTTCTAAAATATATTTTTATCATCAATGCCTATTTCAACGTTGTTTCTCGGTGGTTTCTGTAGGTCATCAATAATCCGTTGCAACTTTTGATCAGGTTTGTACATCTCTATTTCCATTTAATTACCCGCTTCACTTCCTCCAAGTGATCATACATATAATATTTGATAATCTGACACTTTTTAATCTATAGTTGGCTAAGGAGATTTAAGTTGCACCCATAGGAAATACTTCAATCATGCATTACCATATGCATTGCAAAGTTCTCTTTTAAATTTATGGAACACCAAAAATATTTTTATTTTACATTACCAGTGATCCGTTCATTCCCTATTATTGTTACTTCCATGGTGATCATTTCCACCTTATTCTAACAAATAATCACCTGGTATTTATGGTTCTCTATTTGTGCATCACCAGTTGTAATGGGTTCAATATATCAAGGGTATACACCGGAGGTCCTAAAAGTATTCCAAATGTGCCAAGTATGTCCTAAAAGATTGATATCGTTCACCACGTGTCCTAAAAGTATTCCAAGTATGTCAATCTACACGTAAAACTAAAAGATTGAGAGGTCATTTAAGTCATTTGCTTTGTTGAATTGTTAATTGTTATAGTGGAAGAGGCAGCCGCCACCTCCAAAAACCTAAGGTTTTCTGCCTTCCGCCGGTGTCGGCGTCGGTCCATCCCATCTCCGGTGGTCTTAGGGCCATGGAGACGGAGTGGATCTCAGACCTTGCCGGTGGGAGGGCTCCGTTTTTAGATCTTTTTTCAACCTTTGTTAGGGTTTGTATCCTGCTCAGGAAGGCGAGACGGCGGCGGCTCCCTGAAGATGGAATAAAAGTCTCCCCGCCTAGCCCCCGTTCCAGTGATGCGTTTGGCATCATCGATGGGCGTGTGGAGGTGTGTCTCCGGCGGATCTGTCTTTGGTGGATTTGCTCGGACTTGTTCGTCGTTCGTGTTCGTTTGTGTGTTCTCAGGTTGGATCCTTTTGATCTACACTCTTCATCTGCGGTGGGTGCTGTTCTGGTGTGTTGGTTCTATGGAGCCTTAGCACGATGACTTTCCGACTGTCTACTACAACAACGTTTCCCCGGCTCCGGCGAGGGAGGGGCGATGACAGCGGCGCGTCTTCGGCTCGCTTCAGTGCTTGTAGTCGTCGCTAGGTGGTCTATGGATCTGGATGTAATTTTTTATTATTTTTAGTGTTCGTTGTACTACCATGATTAAAGATGAATAGACTGAAAGTTTTTCCCGCAAAAAAAAAAGAATTGTTAATTGTTTTTGTACAGTCTAAAGATTCGTCATTGTGGTAGATTGTTTTCTTTCCACCGAACTCAGAAATTTTCAGTTCAGCCAAAGAATAGACTTTATCATCAAATATTTTGCTACTGTAATTATCAAATAATCAATATTTGTTTGTAAACACCCATTCGTGTAGCAACGCGTGGGGAATCATCTACTCCCTCTGTTCTGAAATAGATGACCCAAATTTATACTAACTTTGTATTAAAGTTAGTATAAAGTTGAGTCATCTATTTTAGAACGGAGGGAGTAGTTTTGATAAAGGGTGAGTAGTCTATAACGCAATGGCAGAACTCCTGCCTTTTTTGCCGTCAAATTTTTTGAAGAAAAAAAAGATGCTTTTCCAACTAAAAAAAGATCCAAAAAAGATACTGATGCTTTTGAGTGTCTTTTCCGAAGAAAATGGAAGGACGGGGTCGTCGTCTTCAACGTTCCCCTCAGTCCCTCACCTTCCTCCCCCTCCCCGCGATGCCCTGGTGGAAGAGCGCCGCCTACTCCAGGTCCACCTCCCGCATCCCCGGCGGATACCTTGATCCGGACCACCATCTCCCTAGGCAGCGGCGGCTGCGCCATGTCGACGACATCGAGGTCGGGGTCTCCGCGCTCCACCTGGACGATTCGCTCGCCGCCGCGCGGTCATCCTCGTATCCAGCGAGGAGGGATGCGGTCTGGTCTGGGCTCACGTCCGCGAGCTCGGCGCCGATCTCGTCGTCGCAGAGTAGCATGGAGGTGCCGCCAGCGAGGTCGTCGTCGAAACCCATGCCATTGCCACACCCTCTGCCGCTGCCGCACGAGGAGGACGCCGAGGTGGCGCCAGCGAGGTCGTCGTCGAAACCCATGCCATTGCCCCACCCTCTGCCGCTGCCGCACGAGGAGGAGGCCGCTCCGTCATCCTCGGACCAAGCGACAACGGACGCGATCTGGTCTGAGCTCGCGGATCGGATCTTGAGGTCACGGAGTAGAATGGATGAGACGCCGGCGAGGTCGTCGTCGGAACCCATGCCGCTGCCCCACAAGGATGACGCCGCATACTCAGCGAGGAGGGACGCGGTCCCGGTGAAGATGGGGGGCGGTCCTGATTCCGCTTCGCTTGAGGCGGAAACGGAGGATCCCATCACGGCTTTGCTCGGCCCCATGGGTCGCCTCCTCCGGCGACTCCATTCAATCGAGGCTTCCGACCACCCTCTGCCAGAGGGGATTAGTGCGAACGGGGTCCGGCTTCTCAGAGAAGGTCTAGAAGGATTGTACGACCACCTCAAGGATGTGCCGGATACAGATCTGGACCCTGGTGTCACGCCCAAATGGTGGATCAAGGAAGTTCGGGAACTTGCTTACGACACGGAGGACTTGTTCGACGAGGTTATGCAATCCGGTGCCGGTGATGGCGTTGCTGTCGGCAGAAGCTCTCCTCTTGGTACCACCATAATTGGGATTATCAGTAAGCGGAAGCAGCGCCTGCCCCAGATTGCACTGGATTTCTCACATTTAATGGCTCGTTTGGATGATGCGAGAGAAAGATGCAAAAGTTTCCAGCTTGCTCCGGAGACAGCCATCAAACCTGACCATGGGCAAGCCAGTACCAGCCGCCACACACCTGACCTGCCCCTCGACCTGCCGGTGTCGGCCGTGTCAATCTCCAATGCCCATGTGAACACCGCTGGCTGTAGCCTAGTTGGTGTAGAACAACCCATGAAGAAGCTTGTTCACTTGCTGGCTTTCGGCGAGGACAACCAGAAGCAACTCAAGGTAATACCTATCTCTGGATCTGCAGGAGTGGGAAAAACTACGGTTGCCAGAACCATATATCATCAGTACGGAGGGGAGTTCCAGTGCCGGGCTTTTGTAAGGGTGTCCCGAAATCCTGATATGAGGAGGCTTCTCACCAGCATCCTCTCACAAACAAAGGCACCATGGACTCATGCCTTTTCTCATGCGCAGGACCTTATTGACAGTATCATCGAACATCTTCAAGGAAAAAGGTACTCCCTCCGTCCGAAAATACTTGTCATCAAAATGGACAAAAACTGATGTATGTAGAACTAAAATACATCTAGATACATCCCCTTCTATTCATTTTGATGACAAGTATTTCCGGACGGAGGGAGTACTGTATTTCCCTATTGATAGTATCACCTCGTGAGTCATGAGGTGCTAGGGTTAATTCGTCCCCGAAATGATAGTATGGAAATTTTATTTGGCTGAAGTGGATTTTAATAATTATCATATTGTGCTTTTATGGAAAACAGGGAAAATGCTTTTCTTATAAAAGAACTCGAATTTGTCCTTTTCTTTTCTTGTAAGGTTCAGTATCATGAACTTCTGAAGGTATCAATGTTCTAGCATGGCATATGCCTATGAGTTTTATGACATTTTTTTTTGGAGATGCTGACATACTCAAACCCATAGGGAGCATAAGAAGGACTTGCATATGGTGTTCATTGACTTGGAGAAGGCCTATGATAAGATACCGCGGAATGTCATGTGGTGGGCCTTGGAGAAACACAAAGTCCCAGCAAAGTACATTACCCTCATCAAGGACATGTACAATAATGTTGTGACAAGTGTTCGAACAAGTGATGTCGACACCGATGACTTCCCGATTAAGATAGGACTGCATCAGGGGTCAGCTTTGAGCCCTTATCTTTTTGCATTGGTGATGGATGAGGTCACAAGGGGTATACAAGGAGATATCCCATGGTGTATGCTCTTTGCGGATGATGTGGTGCTAGTTGACGATAGTCGGACGGGGGTAAATAGGAAATTAGAGTTATGGAGACAAACCTTGGAATCGAAAGGGTTTAGGCTTAGTAGAACTAAAACCGAGTACATGATGTGCGGTTTCAGTACTACTAGCTGTGAGGAGGAGGAGGTTAGCCTTGATGGCCGGGTGGTACCTCGGAAGGACACCTTTCGGTATTTGGGGTCAATGTTGCAGGAGGATGGGGGTATTGATGAAGATGTGAACCATCGAATCAAAGCCGGATGGATGAAGTGGCGCCAAGCTTCTGGCATTCTCTGTGACAAGAGAGTGCCACAAAAGCTAAAAGGCAAGTTCTACAGGACGGCGGTTCGACCCGCAATGTTGTATGGCGCGGAGTGTTGGCCGACTAAAAGGCGACATGTTCAACAGTTAGGTGTGGCGGAGATGCGTATGTTGAGATGGATGTGTGGCCACACAAGGAAGGATCGAGTCCGGAATGATGATATACGAGATAGAGTTGGGGTAGCACCAATTGAGGAGAAGCTTGTCCAACATCGTTTGAGATGGTTTGGGCATATTCAGCGCAGGCCTCCAGAAGCTCCAGTGCATAGCGGACGGCTAAAGCGTGCGGAGAATGTCAAGAGAGGGCGGGGTCGACCGATTTTGACATGGGAGGAGTCCGTTAAGAGAGACCTCAAGGATTGGAGTATCGACAAAGAGCTAGCTATGGACAGGGGTGCGTGGAAGCTTGCTATCCATGTGCCAGAGCCATGAGTTGGTTGCGAGATCTTATGGGTTTCACCTCTAGCCTACCCCAACTTGTTTGGGACTAAAGGCTTTGTTGTTGTTGTTGTTTTGCTGACATACTCAAACCCCAAACTCATGGATCCATCCTTCCATGTACATTGTCCATTTTCTCGAAAAAGTACATTGTTCACTCTCCTCAGAAAACTAAAAAAAGACAGGAGATAAGTCTGATGTTTTTCTCATAAACATCGCCAATTACTCTTTCCTTAGTTGTATGCGTTCTCGTTCTTATGTATTCCTTTTAGAGATAAATCAAGTTTTGTATTGATTGTGTTTCTTTTGTGTACTTGACCAAATATATTTGTCATGACTTGCAGCTACTTCATTGTAGTCGATGATTTATGGGCATCATCAGAATGGGATATTATTAGCCGTGCTTTTCCTTATGGTGATCGTTGCAGCAGAATACTGACAACCACGCAAGTTGAGGATGTAGCATTAGCATGCTCTCGTTATGAGTCAGAATACATATTTGAGATGAGACCTCTTAATTATGGTGAATCTCAGAAATTATTCTTCAATAATGTTTTTGGTTCCGAATGTGAAGGTGCTTGCCCTAAAGAGTTTGAAGTAGTTGCAGATAGGATTATCAGGAAATGCGGTGGTTTACCGTTATCAATTGTAAGTATAGCAAGCCTGTTGCTCCCAAGCAAGTGGAACCCTGCAATGTGGGAGAAGGTAGAAAGTTCTCTACCCTCCACTTTGAGGACAGATCCTACTTCCCAAGGGATGAAAGATGTTATAATCCTTATTTACAATAAGCTTCCACTTCACTTGAAGGCATGCTTGCTCTACCTTGGTATGTATCCAGAGGGCCGCACTATCATGAAGGATGATTTGGTGAAGCAATGGGTAGCTGAAAGTTTGGTCAGTGACACTGATTATGGTTGCTTTGACGAGCTTGTCAGAAGAGGTATGATCCAGCCTGTTGACACCAACTACGACGGGGAGGTTTTGTCATGTACAGTTAACCACATGGTAATGGATCTTATCAGGTACAAATCCATTGAGGAGAATTTCATCATTGTTGTGAAATATTTTGAATCAACTCTGCTGCTTCCTGACAAGGTTCGTCGATTGTCCCTCCAGTTCGGAGGTTCAAAAAGTGCAAAGATACCAGAAAGCATCAGAGTGTCCCAAGTTCGATCACTTCTGTTTTGTGGATCCTCCAGATGTGTGCCTTCCATTCCGGATTATGGCATTCTCCGAGTCCTGATTCTTCATATTTGGGCTGATCAAGATCAGATGAGTTTTGACCTCACTAGAATCAATGAGCTATTTCGACTGAGATATCTGATGGTTGAATGTAATATCACCATCAATTTGCCAGACAAGATTAAAGGATTACAATACTTGGAGACACTGCAATTAGATGGAAGACTATCCGCTGTTCCATCAGATATTGGTCATTTGGAGAATTTACGGCACCTCTGCCTTCCAAGCGAGGCTAATGTGAGGGACCTTGACAGGCTGACCAATCTCCAGGATCTTCATCTCACCCTTTCTACAGCACATCCAATTGAGAATCTGGAGGTTACCATGAAATGCATGGGCTCAATTCTCCACAAACTCAACAACCTCAAGTCTATAATTCTGGCATCTGCAGGTTCCTTTCCCATAAATACTTCAAGTCTGAGCATTTCGTGTGATGGCTTGAGCAACGTGTCCCCTGTTCTGGCCCATCTTGAGAGACTTGAGCTATTGCCACAGGTTTGCATCTTTCCCAGCCTCCCAAAGTGGTTTAAAACACTCGACAAACTCTGCACTCTAAAGATAGCAATTAGAGAGTTGTCGAACAGTGATATGGATATCGTTAAAGGATTGCCTGCCCTCAGTGCTCTCTGGCTGTATATCCAGACAGCGCCGACAGAGACGATTGTCTTTGGCAAGTCCGGATTTTCAGCTCTCAAGTACTTCAAGTTGAGGTGCAGTGAACCTTTGCTGAAATTCGAGGCTGATGCAATGCCTAATCTTCGGAAGCTCAAATTAGTCTTCAGTGTCCAGGAAGTGCAGCAGCATAGAGTTGTACCTATCTGCATTGAGCACCTGGCAGGGCTTAAAGAGATATCCGCGAAAATTGGGGGTGCAGGTGCTGCTGGCACAGAGTCTGCCTTGAGGATTTCTGTTAGCAATGATCCAAAAAATCCAAAAATCAACTGTCAACTGGTGAACTGGAACTTCTATGCTGAAGATAGAATTATAGCGATACCAGACCAAGCAGCCATAATTATAGAAGAACGGGGTGAGATCCTGGAGGAAAACACAGAATATGAGTACAAAGGGGAAGATGGGGACAGGCAAGCTGATAGCGGGTATGGATTTTTCCTTTCTTTGATTTATTGATTCTTCAAGCAATTTTTCTTGTGTGATGCTAAAAGGTTACTGCAATCAGGACTTCTACGCTGCCGGAATCCTCTCCCTCGTTCCCTTTGAGACCCACCGGCCAGCTATATGGCCAGAGGCTCCTTTCTGTGTGGTCCAGGGCCAGGCACACCTTGAAAGCCGTGCCCCGCACCTTGAAAGCCAGGCCCCACACCTTGAAACCTGCCTCTGAGGGCCACGACGGTCTCCTCTGGTGGTACAACCTCGTGCCATGCAACGCCGGTGAGCTCTCCATGGCCTATGTTCAGGCTAATAGGCTGATGGAGGACCATTGTCGCGTAGATTCATCTCCTACCCTCGGCACCTTTGTTGGTATTTTTGATGGTCATGGTGGTGCCGAAGCTGCCCGCTTCACTGCTGAGCATCTCTTCCCTAATATCCAATCCGAAGCCACGTCTAGCTGGCAGGGCGTGACAGAGGAAACCATCAGGAAGGCGTTCCTGGACACAGATGAAAGCTTCATCGCTCATGTCGAGAAACAATGGTTAGTCAAGCCCCAGCTTGCCGCCGTTGGGTCATGCTGCCTTGTCGGCGTCGTGCACCAGCGGACACTCTTCGTCGCCAACCTCGGGGACTCCCGGGCTGTTCTCGGGAAAGTTGGTCTCAATGGGAAGATTGACCCAGTGCAGCTGACCACTGAACATGTTGCCTCTGACGAGAGTGTCAGGCAGGAGCTCAGGGATCAGCACCCCGATGATCCGCATATTGTGGTGCTTAAGCATGGTGTCTGGAGAGTGAGAGGCTTCATACAGGTCCTTCTTATCCTAATGTTTGGTTTTATGTTGCAGTACGTGCATACATGTTCGGCGCTTACACAGTGGATGATGCAGGTGTCCAGAACAATAGGTGACGCATACTTGAAACATGAGCACTTTAACAGGGAACCGCTCCATAGTAAGTTCAGGCTTCGGGAACCATTCAGCCGGCCTATATTGAGTGCCAACCCATCTATCATGTCACACAGTCTTCAACCAAGTGACCGTTTCATCATATTTGCCTCCGACGGTCTGTGGGAACACTTGAGTAATGAGACAGCCGTCAAGATTGTTCACAAACATGGGCGTACTGTAAGTCTCCACACTTGTATATTTTCTCTCATTCCACTTTTTTATGTAATAAGGCTTCCTGGCTTTCACCTGTTGCCTAAGATGATCTAAAATCAACTAATTTGTGAAATCTCTGTGGCCATGCCATTTACTATCAAATGTGTCTATTTAATCTCTATTTATGCAAACGTATTCACATTGTTACAGTAGAGAATTTTTACTTTGCATTAAGAAAATTCAGAGTACCGGGGGAATAGCTGTTAACTCTTTAGAGCATCTTCAACAGCCGCGCTATAGCGCCGCGCGCAAAAAACCTTTTAGCGCGCGCGCTGCGGCTGGTTTTGCGCGCCCGCCTGCGCTGGCTCCAGCAGCCGCGCCATAATGCAGCGCGCGCGCGCCGTTCCAGCAGAGCGCAAAAATACAGCGCGCGCGACTCGCCGGGCATTTTGCATATATGGATATTTTGGACAAAAATGAACATGTAAAATTTGACACAAACAAGTTGATGAATAAAAGTTCATGCCCACAAGTTCATCAAAATCATGCCCACGAGTTCATCGAACCAAGTTCAAATGCAAACTAAAAGTTCAAGACATGAAAGACACATCAAGCTTCATCTTCATCTTCCTCTTCCTCTTCTTCGTCTTCGTCCTCATCTTCCGAAGACGACTCTTCCGCCTCCGAAGATGAACCTTCCTCCCTATCCTCATCACGCACCGCATCACGCACCGGTGTACAGCGGGGTGAGCGGGGCGCCGGTGTGCGCGTCCATGGCGGGGGGCAGGGCGCCGGCGCCGGCGCGCGCGGGGCGTAGGACGAGGAGAGGGAGAGAGTGCGGGCGCGAGCGCTCGAGTGTGCCGCGCGCTGTAGCTGGCGCTCCAAATACACCGCGCGGATAAGTGTTTTTGACCGCGCGCCCAACCCGTTATCGCGCGCGCGCCGTTTTTGCGCGCTGCTGGAGCGAGCCGCCGCGTTGCGCGCGCGCTAAAAAGGCCTATTTTGCGGCGCGGCGCTAGTTTAGCGCGGCTGTTGGAGATGCTCTTAGTAACTTCATTAGACCATGAAAGTAGCTGTCTAGTGTTGCAAGTTGTGTACTGGGGCGATCCTAGGTAGATACAAGTGAAAATCTTTGCTACCTACAGTTTTGTGCTATTTTTTCAATTTCTATAGATTCCTGCCGTATGCACCTTTGTGTTCTTGATGCTCTTGATTTGTACTCCCTCCGTCCCAAAATAAGTGCCATTGATTTTGTACACGTACTAAATCAACGACACTTATTTTTGAACGGAGGGAGTAATATTTTTGCATACATATGCTAGGTGTTAATCTGCCAAGTAAGACAAGCAGATACGGACGACAATTTGACATGCTTGCTGCAAATAAATAAATAAATTTGACATGCTAGTTTATAAGCCGTAATGTGCACCATAAATTTGATTCACTTGACATAGCTGCCAGGGTAGTTTTCGTTTTTCCTTGTTGGGTGAAGAGTTAGTATCTGTTTGAACATGTGCAAACTCCCTTTATCATTTTTTGTGAGAGAAAGATTGCGTATATTATTATGACTCAATGGATGGCATGCCTTTTCCGTTATGTACAGGGAATTGCGAGAAGGCTTATAGAAGCAGCTCTCCAGGAAGCGGGGAAGAAACGAGAGCTTACTTTGAAAGATATCATGAAGATCGAGAGTGGCGTTCGCAGGCATTTCCACGATGATATAACCGTGGTTGTCTTGTTTATAGATCATGGCCTATCAGCGAAAGATCATGCACAAGAAAGCCGGGCCCTTTCCATAAGTGTACCTTCGGGCCTCGGCGATCTAGCCTGGGCGTAACTTTGGTTTTACTGTGCTCGCCCGTCGAACTAGAGTATGTATGATGATTGATCACTACTTTGATGCTGCTGTGCTCGTCTGTCAAACTGTGTATAAAATGACCTCGAAAACCCTTTTATCCAGAAAAAGGTGCTTTAACCCAACATTTTCTTCCAGAGAAAGCTGGGTAACGACTTTTTGAATGATTTGAAGATTGCTCACTAGGCCTACCGCGCGGTGACTTGCTGCGTGACTTTGCTCGCATTATAAAGCCTGGGTATGTTGTTCACTCGGAGGGACACAGATCATCTTATAGTCGTGTGTATCGCTGCTTGTTCTGAGCTACGTACTACTTGGATACAAAAGACGCGACTTGTTCTTGATCATGCTTACCCACGCATGCAGTTTTTCAGCTCACACACTGTGTATCATCTTGGGCTCGTATGTAGCGCATCGCGTCGCAGCTCCTGCCGTGGGTGGAGATTCGGCATGTGCTGGGGGCGATCGATTCTGCTGTCGAGAGGTGTGGCATTTTGGAAGTAAAAGCTGGTTTGTTTCTAAATACTGCAATAGCGATAGGAATGACTACCTGTCAGACTGACTCCAGAAACGGGTCAGTCGAATGACAAAATCAAACAACAACCAATTCAGAAAACGATCTGACTGCCCCAAACTTGGGGCCAGTCGAAAAGCCCAGAATGACTAGCGTCAGGGTTTGTTTCTGAGTTTTTTCTGACTTCTGGCCGAAGCCCACATCTAAAACGGGCTTGAATCCGCTAAGAAACTAACCCACTAAACAACATCCACCTAACGCACACACAGTTCTCTCAAAAAAAAAAAAAACCCTAACGCACACAGAACAAAGTCTTCTTCCTCCCCTTTCTTCCCGATACCAGAGGAGTGAGCCGCCGCCATGGATGTGAAACAAAACTCAGATGATCTGATCTCTTCTGGCCTCTGTTTAGTTCTTTTGCTAACATTTCTTCCTCCCAAAGCCCTTCTCCTCCAGTCGCCCAGAGATCACAAGCAGAAAAACCAGAAAAATGGATGAGTTCTCAACTTCTCATATCATTCTGAGATCTCAGACCTGTCAAGAAAAAGACCAAACCAAGTAGAGACAAACCTGGAGGTGAAAGTGCTACACGTATTTCAAAGGTAATATTGATAATCCTCCACCACTCCTTTGATCAGGCATCATATCGCCTTGATGCAGATAACTGACATCACATCCTCCCTTTTAGTAGATCAGGAAAAGTACACTTGCTCTTGTTCATGAGATACACCTGACAGATGTAAAAAAAAAAGTGTTATGTGTTCAGAAACTACTGAATGTGCTGGTGTGTTGTGCTGATTTGAAACATATGAGTAGAAAGTTGCATATTCAGAGAACTAAAGTTGCTTGTCCTGAAAAATGCTGGTGCATGAATGTACTTGGGTCAATTTGTTTCTAATTCTCGCAACAAATAGCTTGCACTTCCTGAGTAGCAAAAAAAAAAACATTTAGATATGCAGTTTCAATTATACCATAGCACCTACGCAGATATCTGAACAAGTTATTTATCTACAGTTAATCCAGAACACCCGCAGATATCAGAATTTCATGCACAAAAAAATATAACAAAAAAATCTGTACTCATGTAGTCATTTATCTACAGTTAATCCAGAACAACCCCCAGATATCAGAATGTTATATAAAACAATGCACGCAGAAGATACCACCAAAAATTATGCAGTTCTGAAGTTATTTATTGTAGTTATTTATTTCAAGTTAATTCAGAACACACCAGCAAATGAGAAATTCTTCTTACAAAATGCTAGTAGAACATTATAGCCACAAATTCATAGTAATTTAGTTCATAACCTACAGTTATAACAGAAGACAAGATGCATTTCCATTTTGATGAACTAGATCATGAAAAGTATGCTTGCTCTTGTTAATTTTAAGGTGCAACTACCAGAAATAAATTCATTATGCAAAAGCGCAAAACTGAGTTTCCACTTTCAGGTAAACGTACTAGGACAAGATATTTACCAGCAAGGATGTTGTTACAGTGCAGAAAGATAAGAAGACAACATGGTTAGCAAAAAAAATTCAATCAAAAATGTTTGTGTAGATACTAACATTTATTAAGTTATTATGAATACAAACATTACTCCTATAAAAAATTTCAGGTGCAGAAAAATTAAAAACAACATGATCAACATCTACAATCAGATGGAAATTCAATTCATGTGACTCGGCAGGTTATTTTCGTATTTCTCAGCATAGAAAAAACAGAAAAGAACAACTAACCTGCTGCTTTTTCCTTATGTAGAACACGGTAGATGCGCAAACTTATGGAGTACAAGAAGACCAACTGTACGCTGCACAAAAGAAAGAATCAACTGAAAAGATGAATTATAACAGTAATGCATATAACTCATGAACAACAAATAAAATTATGCACACTTTTGCAAGGACTCTGTTGTAAATATGATTTGCAGGAATTAATTGAAGTTCAGTTTGGAAAGCAAAGTTGCAAAGTGATTAATGAATTGCTAGCACCAGAAGGAGTCACACAGTCGTACACACAACTCATGAAACAGATGACTCTCATGAGTCATCTTCAAAGTGACAACATGTCAATCCCTATAACAAGTTTCACTTCGCTCTTGACAATAGGCATGGATGCTCAGGTATGTCTCCTTAAAAATGTAATCTATAATTAAACATTTTCCATGTAGTTAAATATTACAGAATTTGTACATGACAATATTTATATCGCAGGATCACCACAAAACAGCAAATCCAATAACAAGCAACCATCATATTGAAGAAGCAGATGAAGATGAAGTTAATGAGGATAGTTCTGAATGCAATAGTGAATTTTACCTGGACTGCAGTAGTGATGAGAATGAAACTGATGCGGAGGAAGATTACCTGAAGCAAAATACAGTAAGTTGTGAACAGTTGTCTGCAGATCATGAGTATTCAGAGTCGCGGCAAGTAGAGCAGAGTTGGCACAACTCTATTTCAGATGTTGTGCAAGAAATGTTGTCAAATCAAGAAGAACAGATAGCATGTATCAATGAGCCAGCATTGCAAGGTCATGATTATGCGGAAACAACTGATACATATGGCACAAGTGGGAGTGACGAATCAGAGTTTGAAACAGATCAACAACAATATGAAGAAGCACATAAAAACAACTCTGATCTTGATAGCAGTGATGAGTTACCAGAGTCAGACCAACAAGGTGAGAACATGCATCTATCAGGCAGTCATGACATTGGACACCAACAGGATGAGGCCAACAATAAATCAAACAAAGATAAGAATAAGTTATCACATGAAGATATTGAATTTTTTCTTGAGAATGAGGTCACAGAGAAGGCGTTGAAACTAAGCCAAGAAGATGAAAAGAATCTCATGGCAACACTAAACATGTCATTTGAAAGTGATGCTGATGCACACAGATTCTACTATGAATATGCAGCTATCGCAGGATTCTCTATACGGAAAGCTGCAAACTATCACTGCCAAAAGAAAGATGCTGACAACAACAAAATGACAAGATTTACTTTGAAGTGCAACAGGTCTGGTAAACCTAGAAACAGGACAAAACCGACAGCAGCAAGAGCAAAGAGGAGAAAGTACAAAGGTGATAAAAATGCACCTACTGTGCTTGAGAATACAACAGATAGAAGAAGGAATTACACAATCAAAACGGGTTGTAAATCTCAAATGGTTGTTACCTGGAAATTTGAGCTCGAACAATGGGTGGTCACAAGGCTGATCATTCAGCATAATCATGAACTCCATCCACGGGGGAAGTCATGTTCCTGAAATCACACAAGTATATCACTGAGCAAGAGAAAGACTTGATCAGGATTTGCAAAAGAGTAAATATACCAACTAGAAAGATAATGGGAATCATGTCATTCTTCCGAGGAAAAGGGCTTTCTTCATTGCCTTACACACCAAGACAAATTAGTAACATGGGCACAAAAATGAGAGGAGATAATGGTCTGAATGATATGATGCAAGTGGTATCATTTTTTGAACAGAAAAAGTCAGAAAATCCATTGTCTTTTCTACTCATTCAAAGCGGATCCAAAGAAGAATGTGATGCATATATTTTGGGCAGATGGCAGTGGAATAAGGAACTATCAACAGTATGGCGATCTTCTCAGTTTCGACACAACCTACAAGACCAACAAATACAATATGAAATTTGCTCCATTTGTGGGAGTAAATGGTCATGGAGACAACTTCCTTTTTGCATGTGGTTTCATTCAAGATGAGAAGAAGGAAACATTTGAGTGGCTGTTCAACACATTTCTAAAATGCATGGGAGCGAAAAGTACTAAATCTATCATAACGGATCAAGAAGCAGCTATGAAAAAGGCAGTACCTAAATGCTTTCCAAATTGCAATCATAGGAACTGTTTGTTCCACATTCTCACAAAAGCTCATAACAAAGCTAGAAGGACATTTGGAAAGAACCAATAATTGAATGCTCAATTTCATGACATAATCCTAAACTCCCAAACAGTGCAAGAATTTGAGCAACTATGGCCAGAAATGGTTCAACAACACAATGTTCAGCATATCAAGTATTTTGCAACTATGTGGAAAAACAGGAAGAGATTCGCTGTCTACTTCAAGAATCACTTTTATCCATTTATCCAGACAATAGCGAGAAGCGAAGGCACGGATGCTATATTCAAAGAAAATGTAGGTTCAACTCATAGTGTGATTGCTTTCATGATTGAGTATGATAGAATATCACAAAGCATTGAAGAAAAAAGGAAAGAAAATGATTCTGTAACAAGAAGAACTTCTCCAACAATGTGGAGTGACTGGGCATTGGAAAAGTAGGCAGCAATACTGTATAATAGGGGCATTTTCTACAAATTTTAGGAAGAGTTAATGAATTCAACTAAGTTTCACATGGTTGAAGTTGAAAGAAACAAGCGGTATGAGGTGTTCAAGTCACCAACTCAAGCACTATTTGACAACCCCAGAACTTTCATAGTCA